AAACTAAGGGCAGCAGAGAGAAAATGGCGCAAATCAAAAGATCCGTCAGACCTGAGTATGTATCAGTCTTTGCTTTCATCTTTCTCTGCTGAAGTCCATACTGCCAAATCTTCAAATTTCCACAACAAGATCAACAGCGCTCCAGACACACGTAATCTCTTCAAAACATTTAATTCTCTCCTCTGTCCCCCTCCACCACCTCCCACCACTTCTATAACAGCTGATGATTTCAACACATTCTTCACAAACAACACTAGAACAATCAGTAGTCAATTCTCAGCCCCCCACATACAGGACCTCAAACCAACCACACCCACTGCTAAAACTCCCATCTTCTTCTTCTGTGCCCTTACTGAGGCAGAAGTATCAAAACTTCCCCTCTCCAGCCATCCTACAACATGCCCTCTAGACCCAATCCCCTCACACCTTCTCCAAGCAATCTCTCCTACACTCTTACCAGCACTCACACATCATCAACACATCTCTCCTCACAGGCACTTTCTCCACTGCATTCAAGCAGGCTCGGGTAACCCCACTGCTCAAAAAAACCTACATTAAACACTTCACTTACAGATAGCTACAGACCTGTCTCTCTCCTTCCATTCATAGCGAAAACCCTCGAATGAGTTGTTTTCAACCAGGTATCATTGTTTCTTTCACAGAACAACAAACTGGACGCTAACCAGAAAGGAGTGGCCATTCAACTGAGACTATGCTACTGTCAGTCACAGAAGCTGTGAGGATTGCAAAAGCTGATTCCAAATTATCAGTTTCTTATTCTGATTGATCTATCCGCTGCTTTTGACACTGTCAATCATCAGATCCTCCTGTCTGCCCTCTCTTCACTGGGCATCACAGGGATTCCTCTTCGCTGGTTTGAATCCTATCTCACTGGTAGGTCTTTCAGGGTGGCTTGGGGAGGGGAGGTATCCAAAGCACATCAACTTGTCACTGGGGTTCCTCAGGGATCAGTTCTTGGACCCCTCCTCTTCTCCATATACACAACATCACTGGGTCCCATCATACAGGCACATGGCTTCTCCTACCATTGCTATGCTGATGACACACAGCTCTATCTTTCATTTCAACCAGATGATCCAACGGTAGCTGCACGGATCTCAGGCTGCCTGGCGGACATCTCGGCATGGATGAAAGATATATACACTACATCACTGGGTCCCATCATACAGGCACATGGCTTCTCCTACCATTGCTATGCTGATGACACACCGCTCTATCTCTCATTTTAACCAGATGATCCAACGGTAGCTACACGGATCTCAGGCTGCCTGGTGGACATCTCAGCATGGATGAAAGAACATCACCTACAGCTCAACCTGGCAAAGACTGAGCTTCTTGTCTTCCCTGCCACTCCAACTCTACAGCATGATTTCACCATCCAGCTAGGTTCTTCTACAATTACCCCATCAACTTCGGTCAGAAATCTTGGTGTAACTTTTGATAACCAGCTGACCTTCAAAGACCACATTGCAAAGACCGCTCGATCTTGCAGGTTTGCATTGCACAACATCAGAAAGATCAGGCCCTTTCTAACGGAGCATGCTGCACAACTTCTTGTCCAGGCCCTTGTCATTTCTAGGCTGGACTACTGCAATGCTCTTCTG